AGAGAAAGAAAGGAAAGAGAGGGGAAGGGAGGCCACTGAGAGACCTTCTCAAATAAATAAATAAATAAATAAATAAATAAATAAAGTGGATGGCCACTGGGGAACAACACCGAGGTTGACCTCTGGCCACATGTATATGTGTACATAAATGTTTTCACATGCACACACCAAAATAAGCAGAACAAAACCAGCATTTATGGTAGAAGTAATGTTTTATGTATATATCATAAAACCCTAAAGAATGCTAACTGGCCAGTAAATAGACTTTTTAAATGTTTTATTGGCATGTATTAGTTATACATGATGATTAGTTTCATTGTGACTTTTTTATGTGTTAATATAATGTGTTTTCTTCATATTTATCACTCATCACCCTTTCCCTCTCCTCTCCCACTGATCCTTTCCTCTCCTACTTTCATACTGCTTTTTCAAAGATTTACTTACTTTATCTGTATGTTTATGGGTGTGTGTGCTTGGATAATATATATAATATGTACATGCACACACATATACAATACACACACACCATGTATGTGCAGATGCAAGAGAAGAGGGCATTAGTTCTCCTTGAACTGGAGTGACAGGCAGTTGTGAGCTCTCCAGTGTAAGTGCTGAACCCTTGGGACCTCTGGAGGAGCAGCAAGTCCTCTTTACTGCTGAACCATCTCTCCAGCTGCCGTATCTTCCTTTGTCTTTGGGGTTGCTTACTGAGGAATGGGCAGTTTACCAATGACTATGGGACTGAAAACAAGTGTTACTCTCCCCGCAACTAGCAGCTGCCTGTAGACCCTCACATGGGCAGGTCCTCGTGAGCGCCTCCTCTCGCTTTTTTATTTTCAGCATGTTTGTTTTTGTATGTGCCTGGTGCTGACAGAAGTCAAAAGAGGGCATGAGATTCCCTGGCACTGGAGTCACAGACAATTGTCAGCTACCATGTGGGTGTTTGGAGTGATCTCAGGTCCTCCACAAGTGTTCTAACTGCTGAGCCATCTCTCCAGTGCCCTTCAGATATTTTAAGTATTTAAATCTTGGGAAGCTGGGCACTGTTGTGGCACACTCCTGAAGCAGGGGCATCATGAGTTTGAGGCCAACCTGGAGTTACATAACGAGACCTAATTCTACGTAATAGTGTAAGAAGTTGAATACTCTACTTAAACTTTACTAAATTAGTTGTATATCTTCTAATGTTAGAAAAACATTGATTCGCCGGGTGGTGGTGGCGCATGCCTTTAATCCCAGCACTTGGGAGGCAGAGGCAGGCGGATTTCTGAGTTCCAGGACAGCCAGGGCTACATAGAGAAACCCTGTCTCGAAAAACCAAAAAAAAAAAGAAAGAAAAAGAAAAACATTGATTCAATTAATTGTCTAGGCATCTGATAATGTCCCTGGGTTTATAACATGGTATAATTTTATTGTATACCACAGCCTTATTTTGGAAAACTTACCATGTGACTATCTATCAACAGAAATCATTGGAAGGGAAACATCAACGTAGTGTATGGTCTAATCCCAGCTACACAGGTCACTGGTGGGATGATGGTATGTCTGTTCAGGAGCAACCTAAGCAACTTAACAAAACCCCACAGGGAAAGAATATTTATAATAGTTTCAACTCTCTTGTGGTGCTTTTAGCATGAAACCCAAACCCCACCTGTAGTAATTACATAGTAAGCAAGTTAGTACAGCTACTTCCTTCTTGAGTCTCTTCATCCCCCAGAGGAAGTAACAGCAAATCTGACCAGAATCTTTTACAGTGCTGTCATTATCTGTGTGAACTCACAGTCTGTTAATAATGACAAGTAAATTGTAGCTTTATAGGAAATGTCTGTTAGGTCACTTACTAATGAACTTTAAGCAGTTCTTATCAATGAAACCCTTTGAGCCTTAAGCTGTAGAATACACATTTATAGTCACCATTTCTAAGATAAGTTCCTTCCCTAGTGTTCATGTAGAGGAGCAGTACTCTGTTCCACCCCCTGCTGTTACTGATATTAGCAGCAATTAAAATTTTAACTACTAATGCCTCATTACTTCCTTTCAAACTGCTCATTTTTCATTTTTTAAAGCTTTAGGACTGTTGTACAGCTGTTGGCTCAGGGCAGAAGGTACCTAATACAGACTACAGAACAAAAAGTCATACATAAGTGAGGGCAGACTAGTATGAGATCTTAAACAACAAACAGGTAAAGAAGACATGAGGACAGCCTGAATGGCAGCAAAAATACATAAACAGTGTGAAGAGTTTTAATTTTTTTGAGATCCTATTTTTGCTGAATAAATATCTGCCTTTTGCTTCCTAAAAGAAAGTAAATTAGTAAATTGTTTCTAATTCCAAATTAAATACTTTGGGTCAATGAATCAGAAGCTTTATTTTTGTCTTTGTGTGCTTACTTGTTCTTAGCATGTGAGTCTCCTTTAAAAAGATAGTTTGGGGGCTAGAGAGATGGATCAGTGGTGAACATCACTGGCTACTCTTCCAAAAGACCTAGATTCAGTTTTCAGGATCCATATAGTGACTCACAATCATTTGTAACTTCAGTTCCAGAATATCTAATTCCTTCTTCTGACCTTCGTAGGTACATGGTACACATACATACATGTGGGCAAACATTCATACATATAAAACAAATCTACAGATATTTTTTTTTGTTTTGTTTTTCCAAAGGGGAGGGGGTTTATTCAGGGCAGAGGGCAAAGGTGGGGAGAGAAACAGGAGAAGATGGTGGAGAAAGAGGAGAGAGGAGAGAAGTGGAGGCCGGCCATGACCACATGAAGAGAAGGGGAAGGGAAGGGGGGAAGGGTGAGGGGACAGAGAGAAGCTAGAGGCAAGAGAGTAAGAGAGTAAGAGCAAATATTTTTAATAAGTAAAATATTTTTTTTAAATTAAAGAAAACTACTTTTGCTCATTCATTTGATATGAAAGCATATTCCAGCCACTGTTTGTCTTAGTAAATCTCTGGTTAGTCAGATACGGTGTTTCGTGCGTATAATCTCAGCACTTGAAGAATTGTTATGAATTCCATACCAGTCAGGGTTACCAGAATAAGACCCTGGTCTCAAAAAAATGGAAGAGAAGGAAGAACATCGAAAGAAGAAAAAGCAAGTCTCACGGACATTAATCTTGAGAGTAGTAAGCTACCTACCTATTTAAGGAAATGACATTGTCTTGGTTCCTCATGGGAAGACTTTTATCTGCTTAGTTATTTAATCAATGAAATTATGACTATTTGCTCAATATCTTTTAACTTTCTGAATCTGATCTGCTTAGTGGCTGCTGAAATCACATTAGTGTGGAACATGAAAGGTGATTCCCAGCTCTTGGTTGGCTCCCTCTCTACTCTTGGTCAGTACAGGTTTTCTTTCAACTGATGTTTTGGTTCATTAGTGGAAATGAATGCCGTCACAGTACTATTTCTCGGTGCTCTGCAGCAGTTGTTGATGTCAAGTTCCATACAGAAACCCTGCAGGAACACTAATGTGCTGGATTTTGTTGTTGCTTTCTGTTGCTTTACCTCTCCTTCCATATCTCGCTGTCATGCTTCCTAATGCCTAAGCAGACTGCATCATCAGAGCGCCGAGGAGAGTGGGAAATCCAGCCCAGCCGGCAGACCAATACCTCATACCTGACGTCTCACTTGGCTGCAGACCGCCATGGGGGCTCAGTACAGGTACCTACTATCTTCCCTGACCTTCTTAGCCTGACTAGTAGAATGTTGGCTTGCTCTTGCAGTTCGGGTTCCTTTCAGATGAATGATTACAGCAGGGGTGAGTTGCTTCTGTTTAACTGATTATCTCTATGTAGACCTTGGTAAAAACCATTTTGGGGGATAATTGCTGCTTTTTTGTCATTGACTTAAAAGCATATATGTGATTTCTGCATTGAATTAACCTGCCCTACAATCTTGGTCTACTACTCATTATCTGCAGAATACCGTCAAGGTAAAAGCGTGTCAGTATCTAAATTGTAAAGTCCTGGAGCCTTCTAGTACTAGAGATATGCATGTGTAACTCATCTGATGATGACAGATTGTTTAGCACCTAATAGCCTGGGAATATTGATTGCAGGGATTTCCTGAGTGGATAACAAAGAAGTTGAACTGTTTCCTTTTTTCTCTCTGGAATAAATTTGGTCTTGAAAATTATTTCTGTTTTTATTTAGGCTAGCCTTAATTTTTCTTCTCTTTATAGTACCAGAAACATGTTTGGTCTCATCAGTTTTCTTATATATAACTTTTAAAGTCATACCCAGAAAAAAATGCAACTGAATATTTTTCTCATACTGATGACCATAGAAATGAACTTCCTTTGTGTAAATAAATCTTAATAGGCCTGATCTTCTAGAATATGCTTTTATAAGAAAGAACTCATTGAAAGTCTTTTTATTCATAGGAAGTTAACACACATGTAGCCCTATAAAGTATTTAATAGAAACATGAAGGTAAAATGTGAATTGACACAGATTTGCTGTTATCTCTTCCTGAAGCAGTGGTAAAGGAGCATGGTGGCACAGGCAGGTTCGAGGCCAGCCTGGTCTGAACATTGTGTTCCAAGCCAAGACTACATAGAGAAATCTTGTCTCAAAAGAAAAAAAAAAAAAGATAGATAGAAAGCAAAAAGGTAAAATATTGTGTAGAGGTATAAGTCCATAGAAAGGTGAAGAAGCTGAGCAGTGAAGAAAGAAAGGTGAAGAAAACAGTAATAGCAACAAAACGTTGGAAGTTGAAAGACAGATTAAATAATAATTGATTAAATTTTAAAAATTGAATCTTAGTCTATTCACCCTGGCATTTCTCAAAAGCCTCAAGAATTGGCTTTTAAGTTGAGGAGTAAAAAAAAAAAAGCAGGGCATATGCTAAAAAAGGGTGGTTGAAGGGTTGGAGAGATGATTCAGTGGTTAAGAGCGCTGGCTGCTCTTCCAGAGGACCCAGGTTCAATTCCCAGCACTTACATGGTAGGAAGCTCACAACTGACTGTAACTCCAGTTCCAGAGGATCTGATGCTCTCATGAAAGACATACATGTAGGTAAACACCAATACATATAAAAATAAATAAATTAAGCAAACAACAAAAAAAAATTGGTTGAAAGTCTAAGAAGGAAGAGATCCTTCATGTTGTTTCTTCACCAGAGACCAAATCTTTATTTGGAGAGAGGAAGTAGGGGTCAGTCTATCCCATCTGATTCTATATTTGCTCCCACACCTACCTCCTACCCTCCCCAACAAGTCTCACCTTGTTTCAGGGGCAGCATCAGCATAACATCACCTGTGACAAACAAGTGGCTGATTTATTGTTTAGCTATGATACTTCACACCAGAAATGCTGAGTGGCTAATAGTGAAATAAAAAGCTCAGTGGCAGAGCTGGAGAGATGGCTCAGTAGTTATGAGTACTTGTTGCTTTTGCAAAGAACCCAGATTTGGTTCCCAGCACCCACATGGCAAGTCACAACTATCTGTAACTCCAGTTTTAGGATCTAACAGCCTCTTCTGCTTCCATAGGCATTAGGTATACACATGATGCGCAGACATACATCCAAGCTAAATGCCGATACACATAGAACTTTTTTTTTTTTAAAGAAAGAAATACAGGGAAAAATTGGTAGTTTTGTTTAAGTGTAATTTTGCTGATAGAAAAGCATGACAAAATAACATCAAATCAAAGAGAAAGCAGTAAAATAGTAACAGCATAAAATGAATTACTGAAAAGTGCAAAGATCTCTTATTGTAGAAAAGCAGATGTACTTCCCTCTTCAGAATTACCCAATGAACATTGTGTTGACAGGTTATGTATCAGTCGGTGCCATGGAGAAATTCCTAGGGAAGTTACATGATTTTATTTCTGAAAGTTCAGGATATTTTACTTATTATATTCAAAATGAAACTAGCTTTTCTGCTATTAAAAAATAAATTGAGGACAAGGTGTTTATTTGTTTTTGTTTTAAAGTTGGTCTCTAGACTAAGGGCTGTGAAGTGCCCTTGGAGGCAAGGTGTAGTGCTTAACAAGGAAGAGTGGGTATATGGTATCCTGACTGACTGACTGACTTATTTTTATTTTTCCATATATTGCTTTAGAAAGCAAATAGCCAGGCAAGAAGTAAATACACAGAGACACACACACACACTGGAAAATATAACCATCCAGAAAGAAAATTGAAGGGGACTAACACCATTATTCTCCCCAATCCAATGGCAGCCAACTCATCCTGAAATATCCCAAATTGTCAAGACCCTCCCAGTCTCACAGTGTCAATTGATATGCATCCTCTCATTTTAAAGTTTTTAATTAGGGCCTTGGAGAGATGGCTCAGCAGTTTAAACCATATACTACTCTTGCAGAGGACCTGAGTTCATTCAATTTCTAGTATATCAGGCAACTAACAAACTGCAGGGGATTTCACACTTTCTGGTCTTCCTGCATACCTGCACTCATATGCACATACCCATTGTCCTAGTTTGCTTCTTTGATAAACACCATGACCTGAAACTTGGGGGGAGAAAGGGGTTTATTTCTTTTTCATCTTAGTCTCTGAGGGAGGCAGGAACTAAAGCAGAGATCATGAAGAAAACTTGTGTACTGTCTGGCTTCCTCAGTCTGCTTTTTTATACAACACAGGATGACCTGCCCCCTGTGACCTGGGCCTTCCCATAGCAATCAGTCAAGTTGAGGCTCTCTTCCCAGATGATTCCTTGCTTGTGTCAAGATGACAAAAAATTAACTGGCATACTTATACTGGACAGATACACATACATACTTAAAAACATAAATCTTTGTAAAAGGTTTTTATTAGCATGAACCATATAGAATTTGCTTTATTGTGACATTTTTGTATATTATATAATGTATTCACCACCCATAACCCTCTCTTTTACTCTGCAGACCCCTTATTAACAACTACTCTAGTGTTCCTAGTCTTCGGGGTATCTGTATGTACGTGTATACCAGTGAATTTAATTATAACTGTTTACAGGAGCATGGGCAATCTACTGTTGCCTACAACACTGAAAGAAGTGTCTTTTCCCACACCAATCATTGTCTATTAATCCTCAATGATGGATGGAGACTTCTGCATCCACTACTTCTAATAGGAACAGATAATCAAGGGTTATCAGGCACCTGAAGAAAATTTTAATAAGAAAGGAACTGAAGCAAACTACAGCAGAAGTATTTTCAAAAGAACAAGCTTTGCCTGGCGGTGGTGGCACACACCTTTAATCTCAGCACTTGAAGGCAGAGCAGACAGAGTTTGAGGCTAGCCTGGTCTATAGAACAAGTTCCAGGACAGCCAGAGCTACGCAGAGAAACCCTATGGGGGTGGGGGTGGGGCAATATTTTAAAGAAAAAGAAATCAGAGCTGGAGAAGTGACTTGGTAGTTAAGAGCACTTTCTGCTACTCTGGAGGTCCTAGGTTCAAATCCCATCACCAACATGACAGCTCACAACTGTTTGTATCTCCAGTTCGAGAGGATATATTAGCTGGGCGGTGGTGGCGCACGCCTTTAATCCCAGCACTTGGGAGGCAGAGGCAGGCGGATTTCTGAGTTCGAGGCCAGCCTGGTCTACCGAGTGAGTTCCAAGACAGCCAGGGCTATACAGAGAAACCCTGTCTCGAAAAACCAAAAAAAAAAAAAAAAAAAAAGGATCTATTGACCTCGTCTGGCCTCCTCAGACTGAACATACGTAGTCCACATATGTAGATGCAGATGAAGTACTAATATCCATAAATAAAATACAAATTTTGGCAACAGAGCTCTTAGAAATTAAAACAAATAGAGGGCCGGGCAATGGTGGCTCACGCCTTTAGTCCCAGCACTTGGGAGGCAGAGGCAGGTGGATTTCTGAGTTCCAGGCCAGCCTGCTCTACAGAGTGAGTTCCAGGACAGCCAGGGTTACACAGAGAAACCCTGTCTCGAAAAAACAAAAACAAAAAAATAGAGGGGTGGGGGTTGGCTCACACCTTTAATCCCAGTACTTGGGAGACAGCAGCAGCCAGTGGATCTCTGAGTTCAAGGCCAGCCTGGTTTATAGAGCAAAAGCCAGGACAGCCAGGGGTAAAACCATGTCTTGAAAAACCAGAGAGACGAAAACAAAAAACAAAAAAAAAAAACCAGAGAGACGGGGGAAGAGGAGAAGAGATTGATTAAAACAATACCATTTAAAATTCAGTCAGATTGGAATTTAAAATTAAGAATGTAGGAGGGCTGGAGAGATGGCTCAGTGGTTAAAAGCATGGACTGCTCTTCCAAAGGTCCTAAGTTTAATTCCCAGCAACCACATGGTGGCTCACAATCATCTATGATGTGATGTGATGCCATCATCTGGTATTGTCTAAAGACAGCTACAGTGGTCTCACATACATAAAATAAATAAATAAATCTTAAGAAAAAGAAAGTAGAACAAAAAGAAATATATGAAAAAAATAATTGAAGAAAAGCTGAGGAACATTTAAGATCATGTTCCATGTTATACTAGTTCCAGAGAGAACAGAGAAACGAAATGATTTGCAGAAGTATTTCCTAGAGTCAAAGATCTGTTTACTGATCACAGAGACCATTGAGTACCAGAGTTAATGGATGATAGAACCACACCAAGGTTCATTCTCATGAGACTAGAACACTAAAGACAAAAGCAAAAGCTTCAAGCCTCCAGAAAGTCACAAAGAAAGAATCGG